AGAGGTTTTTGGGGTTTACGTGTCCGGCTTTGGCGCATGTAGGACGTTACTTGATGTATCTCTTATCCACGTTGTTGTAAGCTTACTGTCGCAAATAAAACATATCTTGGGCCTGGCTGACCAACGCGCCCATGCCTCAACCTTTGACTGTGTTCGGTTGTGTAGTGAAGGCAAAATGACCAAATTTTGCGTTGTCTGGAGAACGTGAACTACGACGGCTAATTTTTTGAATTTTTATTTCAAATTTATCGCTGTGTTCCGGATTTAGTTTTGCGATAGTTTTGACAGTGATAAACAAAGTAAATGACTTAAGAGTATCGCGAGATTCGTAGGTAAGATATAAAATCATTTTTTAATCGACGTTGTCCTCGGCGTCGGCGTCGTGGCTTCGTAAACTCCCTAATTATTGTAAAAACTCTACTTGATTATTTCGTGCTCTGTTCCGCAAGACATTGAGTAAACGGAAGATCGCACGAATGATCTGTTATATTTCGTGACAAGTTCTGAAGACAAATAATGCGTCAAAATACAAAGACCCTTCCTAAACTGATAGAGAATAACAGCTTCATAGCCTACAAAAAACAGATGGTTCCGATTTTCCCACTGGTTTGCGGAAAAACTCTTGCTCTCACTGCTTTCCTTCAGCATGGCTGCGTTAGAGCGAGGTGACTGAAAGGGTCACTTTGTCTTTCTATTTATTGTATTATTGTAATGCTAGCTCGGCAGGTTTCCGGAGAATCACGCGTTTTATAAACAGATATGAATATTTTAGCATGGTGATTCGAGACAAACGAAAATTACAATAAAGACAACAAACAACACTAGTGAAAATCAGCGCAACATTTTCCCGAGTTGAGGCTAAAAATTATCGGCCTTAAACTGTCGTATTTCCAAAATTATCCCTTGATGATGTAATATATCAAACGCGAAAGACCGTGTTTGACCACATTTCGAAACACCGAGAAGATAGTTGGAAATACGACGCGCAGTGGAGTATTTTTGACGAAATTTCGAAGTGTTTGGAAATGTGGTCAAACATTGTCTTGAGTGTTTGATATATCTTCTCAATCGAAACCAAACTAAGGAGAAAACGGAGAAATAAAATTGTAAAAATCTATGCTTATTAAGATCAGATATCCAAACACTGTCACAGTCATGATTTCCCTCGTTTAAACTTGATGAATTATCAATGAGTTTGAGAAGCATAAGTCGAGTCGTACACTGTATCGGAAATTGAGCCAGGAGCACAACAAATGAGCAGAGTTATCAGACCTGCAGACCTCATTAAGTAAATAAAATCATGCAAAACATATCCTTTAGTGTGATTTGTTTGTTTTACTGGTGCTGAGATTTCTTTCTTACCACGATTTGAAAGAAGCCACAGTAAGTCAAGGCTGAAATAAAGCCAAAAATATAGATGGCAACTGGTACATTTACCTACAATTTTTAGCGACCGAAAACGTTAACATGTTGGCAACATCATGTTTTTAAAACTGAAAGGGTTT